GGCCTAGCATGGTGTTGAAGATCAACGCGTAGCATGACAAAGCATGGCGTGGCGACGCCCCAAAGTGGTGTGGGGGAGGGGAGGGGCTTCTGCGGCCCCAAAAATCAACGAATCGACACCGAATGTGGAATCACTTTCGATGGTTTCGTAAGGAGGCCCTTTTCTAGATTTTGGTCTCTGTTTGGCAGGACCGAAAACCATGCCGTGGCATGGCGCTGGCGGGAGCACGATTCGGAACGAGCGGTGTCCCGAAAATGAGGCCAGCGCTGCAGCGAGAACAGCATCTGGAACAAACGCAGCGAACACCCGTTTCTCGGGAACAGGGGGGCCAGCCATTTCCCAGACGTCACCAGAGGAGAGAGGAGAGTAGTATGCATATTGTGTACTCCAGATTTCGCAATAAAAGGGAGGGGGTCTGGACCCTCCAAGACAAGCCATTTTAGACCTCCCCCGTGGGAGCGCAGTTCCTGGAAGGGGGGCCCGCTGACGGGAAGGTGTGCCTTTGCACGCGCCCCTCACACGCTCCACCTCCCTCCTCCTCCTCCTCCCTCCTCCTCCTCCTCCTCCTCCTCCTCCTCCTCCTCCTCCTACTCCTACTCCTCCTCCTCCTCGGGGGGAAGTGAGAAGGGGCGGGCCTTTTCGGAAGGCTCGGAAATTCCCCAGCGTTCTGAGAAGTTGTCTCAGCCCTCTTCCCGAAGGCACGGAACCTTTCTCAGAAGGCTGGCGAGCTTCTGAGAAGCCCCGTCGCCTTCTGAGAAGGCCTTTTCTTTCTCACTTCCCCCCCTCGCTCGCCGCCGAGTGATAGCTGAGCGGCTGGGAGCGCTGCAGCGAAGACCAGTCCACGGAACCAGGCGTGGAGTCTTGCCATTGGCCTTGCTGGGCCGCCAGCCGCGAGGGGCGGGAGGAGGGAGATGCGGCTCGCGAGGCGCAGCGGAGAGACACCGAACACTAGACCGAGGCGGAGGAGGAGGGTGAGGGTGAGGAGGAGGAGGAGGAGATGCAAAGCGTTCCCTTGGCTTTTCCGGGGCGTTTCGTAGAGAGGTTTGCAACGTAGCGGTGCGTTCAGGTGGCGGCACTCGAGCAGGAGCGTACTCCACAGCGGCTTACTCCACAGTTCCTGGAAGATTTGAAGAGTGAACACGTCTGTGCCACAATCACTCGATACATGATTGCCGGTCTCTGGGGGCTTCAAGCAGTGCCAAAGGAAAGGGGAGGAGGAGGAGGAGGAGGAGGAGGAGGAGGAGGAGGAGGAGGAGGAGGGAGAGAGGGAGAGAAAACAGGAGGAGGACAAGGAGGAGCAGCAGGAAGGGAAGAAGCAGGAGGAGCGAACAGGAGCGAGATGAGGCGGATGAGGAGGGGAAGGAGGGGGAGGAGGAGGTGTTACGATGATGTCGACGACGACGACGACGACGATGATGATGCTGATGACGACGATGATGATGATGATGATGATGATGATGATGATGATGGTGATGGTGATGGTGATGGTGATGGTGATGATGGTGATGATGGTGATGGTGATGATGGTGATGCTGTTGAGGTTGATGATGATATTGCTGCTGCTGCTGATGCTGATGATGAGGAGGAGGATCGTGACCATGATCATGCTCATGTTACTTAGGATGATGATGGTGATGACAATGACGATGACGATGACGCTGCTGCGGATGATGATGCTGTTGCTGATGCTTTTGATGATGACGATGTTGATGATGTTGCTGCAGATGCTGATGCTTCTGCAGATGACGAGGATGCTGATGATGATGATGACGATGCTGATGGTGCTGGTCATGATAGCAATGTTGTTCATGATGATGCTGATGATGCTGCTGATGCTGTTAATGCTAATGCTGACGGTGATGATGCTGCTGTTGCTGCTGCTGCTGCTGATGATGATGATGATGATGACGCTGATGCTGCTGCTGCTGCAGATGATGATGATGATGCTGATGATGATGATGATGATGATGATGATGGTGGTGGTGGTGGTGGTGGTGGTGGTGGTGGTGGTTGTGGTGGTGGTGGTGAGGAGGAGGAGGAGGAGGAGGAGGAAGTGGAGGACGAGGACGAGGAGGAGTGGTAGGAGGAGAAGGAGGAGGAGAAAGAGGAGGAGGTGTAGGACGAGGAGGAGGGAGGAGGAGGAGGAGGAGGAGGAGGAGGTGCAGGACGAGCAGGAGGAGGAGGTGGAGGAGGAGGAAGAGGAGGGGGAGGAGGAAAAGGAAGAGCAGGAGCAGGAGCAGGGAGAGGATGAAAAGAAGGAGCGAGGATGAGCAAGGAGGAGTAAGGAGGAGGCACATGAGGAGGAGGAGGAGGAGGAGGAGGATTGAGGAAGAGGAGGGGGAGGATGAGGAGCAGGAGGAGGAGGAGGCGCAACGGGAGAAGGAGGGGGAGCAGGGGCGGACGCACGGGGCTCAGACAATCAGCTTCCCCGCTGACCAGGACGCTGTCCTACCGGCGCGGCGCCCAGGGCCAGGGCGGCAGACAGGACGTGAGTTTGGAGGCGACATCCCACCCCGTGCGAACCTCCGAAAGGTTATTCCGGATGCAACTCCCGGGAGGTCAAGTTTGTTGTTGCCCTGGTCCGAAATCCGGCTTAATCCCGCTGAATCCCGTTTCCTCCGGCTTAATCGTGCTTAGTCCGAGGCCCACTCCGGCGTAACAGTTCCCAAATGAGGCTTAATCTTCCCTTCCGACGAAGTCCTCCCAGTAGTTGCCTCCTAAGTTTATGTTGGTGCCGTTGTCCTTTTTTCAAGGGGCTTACGCAATTCCGCCGACCCGGAGATGTGCGGCTTCCGATTTCGTGTGTGTTGTTTGCCGCTTCCCGTCGTGTTGCCTGCGTGTGTATGTGTTGCTGTTTCGTCCTCCTCTTCCTCCGCGCCAGTTGCAGGGCATCTTGGGAGCCTCTTGCAGGCCAAGGGGGTTGCCTCTCACAGCTTTGTTTTTGGATGGGGGCCCATTTGAGGGCTTCTAGGGGTCGTGCTTCTTATTTTAGATGACCTGACCCTAGTCAGCGTGGCGCAGTGAATCTTGTATGTTGGTATGTGTGGGGCGTCGCAGTTTCGTGCGACATTCATCTGCCCTCGTAAATGTGGTGACCGATCTTAGGCTTCTTCGCATGCAGATAACTCAGAGATAGCTCTGTGTGCCTCCATCTGACGATGGAACGTCAGCTCGCAGTGAGGGCAGACTGGAATTGATCTGATCCTCGTCATATCTGCGCACCTCCGTGCTTTCAAATCCTGTGCAATCATGGAGAGTTGCTCACATATGGTATTCGGCCTATCGGTCTTCAGCGCGCCCAGCAGTCTCGTTGTCTTCGTGCCCATCGTCCTCGTTCCCTTGTGCGTCCTTTCCTCCACGTTGTCCTCGTCGTGGTTGTCCGCTCGCCTTGTCCTTCTGCCCACCCTTCCTCCAGCTTCTCCGCCTCTTGGCATCGCTCGGACGTGTGCATTTTTCCTTTGGCGATGACCATCGAGGAGCATCCTTGATCATTTGGCGAAAGAACCACGCACGAAACCGAAAAAAACACAGGGAATGGACGTTCGAGCGATGGCCAGTCCTCGGCTTCCTGTTACAGTTTTGGGTCGCGCTCAGGCGAGCGCTCCCTCGTTCATCTGCCGGGGGCAGGGGCAGGGCCAGGGCACCCAGTCGGAACGGCCCATGGGTCCCCTTGCAGGGGTACAGGTGCCAGCGGGGCGGCCAGGTCTTTCTTTCACATTGTAGCGGGCTGCGCTTCGACACATCTTCACAACCGTACAGGCGCATACACACATACATATATATATATAGATATAGAGATAGATATAGATATATGTGTGTAGTCGCCCCCCCCTGGATAGATTTGCAGCCTCCCGAGAGACATGTTGGACGGGCCGATATCGTTTCGGTTCGAGCGTTTTGGAGAGAATAGTTATCCATGGTAGCGTGAGCGGATGCGCCCCCAGCGCCGAAAGCGGCAGCCTGCGATAGAGCCGCGGCGGGCCAGACCCGCGGAGGGCTCTTCAGCGCAGGCCAGGGCCCAGGCGCTGGAGGCGACCAGCCTCGCGGATCCAGACGAGCGCGAGGACGATTTCGAGGTGTTGTCGGGGAAGGACACTGCCCAGGTGTGGGTCTCGCTGGCAACGCGGCTGGTGAGGCTGGCCTTCAAGAGGCGCTGTTGGGCACACCTCGGACAGCATTTGTGTACGATCAAGAGACGGGGTCAAGATGGCAACGACATTCCAGGACGTCCAGGCGCTTCGACAGGCCCTCGAGCAAGTGCAGGGAGAGCTACGGCAAGCACGAGCGGACGCGGACGCCGCGAGTAGGGCGGCGCAGGAGGCTGCGCAGCGGGCACAGCAGGTGCTCGGGCAGCAAGGTGCAGCCGCAGCGGCGGCGCAAGTGCCAGACCCTGGACCAGAGGATGGCCGCAAAGATGAAGATGATAGGCAAACCAGAGATGTTCGATGGGGCCAAGCCGCCATGGAGAGACTGGTCGGTTGTGTTCGAGGCGTTCGCAGGTGCGACAAACCCAAACATGGCGGCGGCGATGGCCAGAGCAAAGCGTGAGGCATAACCAGTGCTGATGACGAACCTCGAGCCCGGGGACATGCAGTTGTCCAGGACGTTGGGGTACTGGCTCATCCAGACGTGCAGGAGCCAGGCGCTCGACGTAGTGCTGACTGAATACGGGCAAGCTCGAGGGATTCGAAGCCTGGCGACAACTACACCTTCGATTCGAGCCACAGGCGGCGAGCAGGTACGCTGGACAGTTGATGACGCTGCTCGCCTGGGACTTCAGTGGCGAGATGATGACACGCCTGGAAGCCTTCGAGAGGGAGATCAGCCTGTATGAGTCGGCGTCGGAGGAGACCCTCTCGGACGCGATCAAGGTTGGCATAGTGCTGAGGCAGTTGCCCGAGTCCCCGCTGAGGCAGCACATGATCATGAACGCGGAGAGACTCAAGGAGTGGCCCAAGTTCAGGGAAGAGATCCTGAACGTCCGACGAGCCCAGGCCGCAGCGGCGGCAGCGCAGAACGGGGTGGCCCCGATGGATCTCTCAGCGTTCAACAACCAGGGTGGCAAAGGGCGCTGCAGGATCTGCAGCGGCAAGGGCCACGACGAGAGGAACTGCTGGCACCGCAAGGGCGGGGCCGGGACAGGCAAAGGCAAGTCGGACAGCAAGGGCAAGTCGAGAGGCGACTCCAAGTCGAAGGGATCCTCGAAGGGCGGAAGGGCACAGGACGGCAAGGCCGGCAAGGGGCCGAAGTGCTTCAACTGCCGGGAGCACGGGCACATGTCCAAGGACTGCCCGAAGAAGAAGAAGAAGAACCTGCACATGATGGAGCCGGAACCCGAGAAGGCGCTGCGCGGGCTGCGGCTCGCGCCGTTCACGATCGACGAGAAGGGCGTGGCGCAGAAGGCCTTCGACCTGCTGATCGAGGGCGGCCTGGTGGACGACAAGCTGGTGCACGAGCTGAGCAGGCTCGGTGCGGACACGGCGCGGGCATCCCGCAATGTGGTGCTCGGTGTCGACTCGCGTGCAGCTACGACGGTCGTGCCATCAGAGCTGGCGCCTGACTACCCGACGCACGAGAATGACATAAGTGCGAAGGGCGAAGGCTACAGGACCGCGAACGGCGGCTGGGTGGCCGACGAGGGCACTAAGGAGCTCATCGGGTCGGTTCGCAACGCGGGCGGCTCGGCGCAGGCGGGAGGCATCAAGGCTAGGGTCGCGAAGGTCAGCAAGGCACTCGCCTCTGTCTCGGAGATGGTCGACGCAGGCCATCGGGTCGTCTTTGATGTTGGCGGCAGCTACGCGGAGAACAAGTCGACAGGGGTGTTTTCACCGTTCCAGAGGCGCAACAAAGTGGACGAGATGGAGATGGAGCTGATGCCGTATAGCAGGGCGAAGGACGTGATCGGCCGCGCGGAGGCCTGGTCCAAGCCCAGCTCGACCGGCAAGAAGCTGAAGGAGATCTGAATGGTGAGGAGCGATGACGCGGGTGATGGAGCTGGATCGGGTCAGGCAGCTGCGGCGGCAGCAGCAGCAGAACCAGTCCAAGAACCTGTTCAACCAGAAGCGGTACCTCCACCACCTGCCCCGGTGGTTGCTCGGGGGCGGCCGGCAGTGAGAGCGGCGCGGAGACCGCGCGAGCCGACCCAGCAGGAACGAGAGGACCATGAAGTGTCACACACGCCGTATCGAGCTTGGCGCAGGCACTGCGTTGCAGGACGCGGGCGGGCTGAACCTCATATGACGAGGAGCCACGCGGAGGATGCGATGCCAGTCGCGGCGTTTGACTACGGCTACCTCGGCAGCGGCGAGGTCGCAGCCCCGATTCTGTTCATGAGGGACTCGCTGCACAGGCACACGGGCGCGGAGGCGTTGACCTGCAAGGGGGCGGCGCACGCGCACGGCGCCGACATGCTGGCGAAGTTCGTGGTCAACGGCGGCTACAAGAAGGCGGTCTTCAGGTGCGACAACGAGCCGAGCATCGTCGCCCTGAGGGGCGAGGCCGTCAAGAGGCTCAAGAAGGACCACGGCGTGGAGTGCTTGCTGGAGACATCGGCGGTTGGAGAGCCACAGTCGAACGGTCTAGCTGAAGGGGCTGTCAGGGATAGACAGGGCCTGACGTGGACCCTTAAGCACGCGGTGGAGGAGATGCACAGAGTCACGATCGGCCCGAAGCATCCGTGCCTGCCGTGGATGGTGAGGCACGGCGCAGCAGTCCACAATCGAGGTCAAGTGGACTCGGACGGGCGCGCGCCGTGCGAGTTGAGGAAGGGGCGCGCTTACAAGAGGGCGCTCCCGGCGTTCGGTGAGAAGGTGTTCTACCTGCCAGTCGGCAAGAGGGAGTCGAGGCTGGTGGACAGGTGGCTGGAGGGCGTCTTCTACGGGACCCGCGACGACAGCGACGAGGTGTACGTGGCGACGCCGAAGGGCGTGATGAGAGCCAGGAGTGTCAAGAGGATGCCATTGGCAGCGAGGAGTGACAAGGCTCTTTTCTCAGAGCTGCAAGGCGCGCCGTGGCGACCTGTTCCTGGTCAAGAAGGTGAAGGACTCGAAGTACCACCTGCCATGGTGAAGGTGGCGGTGGATCAGGTGGTGCCGGACGTGGATCTGCCCCCTGTTTCAGGACCTGTGGGCCCCCCTGCTCCGAGGAGGGTCTACATCAGGAAGGGCGTGGAGCTGCGGCGCTACGGGTGCACCCCAGGTTGCAGGGGCTGCGCAGCAGCTCGGGACATCCAGCGCGCGATCATGCACAACGAGGAATGCCGAACGAGGATCGAGAAAGCGATGGAGGGCGACCAGACGTTCGGCGGTGGAGCTCGGGTGGCAAAGGCTCACCTACGGCGAGTAGCTAGTGGGCGACCCGAGAGAAGTGAAGACGAAGAACCTGGAGCCAAGCGAGGACGAGTCAGTGATCGTGGACCAGTCGGGGAACCAGGGGCTCCAAGCTCATCTGGGACAGCGTCGGGAAGCGTTCCGGCGGCGGCGGACGTGGCCACGGGCGACG